TCAGTCTGTTCCTTGTAACCAATATCGGTGCTTTGGCTATCTACTTTCTGTTTGGGGGGCTCAGCTACTATTTCGTGTTTGACCATTCGTTGATGAAACACCCGCAGTTCCTTGAGGTAAAGGGATCAGGGACAGAATTCACCTTTAGACAAACTCTCTCACCTTTCTATCCTGATATTTCCATTTTCATTTTTCTGAGTTCAATTTTTCTTTGACTTGGCAATTGTAATTAATTTCTCACTTTTTTGAATAATCCCCAGGGGAGATTTCACCGGCTGCCGTACCTTGTACATGGTCTGTCACAAGCTGTACAGGGAAGTGTTAATGTTTGTGTGTTAGTGGAGGTCTATTGATCACTCTGCATTCTCTCATTTTGCAGAATCAGGTTCGACGTGAGATCAAGTTTTCCATGCAGTCCATGCCTTGGATCAGCATTCCCACCGTTGCTTTGTTTTTTGCCGAAGTTCGAGGGTATAGCAGACTTTACGACAACATTGACAGTTCTCCATATGGTAAGTGTTGCAACACAAACCAAACATGATTGTGGAGTCTCTAAATCCACAGACTGCGACATTGACATGTATCTCGTTACAGGATGGTTTGGGGTGATCCTCAGTATGATTTCATTCCTATTCTTTACTGACATGGCAATCTACTGGATTCACCGCTTCCTGCACCACAAGCTCTTTTACAAGGTCTGTGTCGTTATTTTCAGTAGATGTAATCCCTGACTTATCCTAAAAGTTGTCCAGTTCCGATTTTTGCCTTTTATGATTTTCCAGGAGCACAATAGATCTAATGGTATATTTCTGATAAATAGGACAATAAATCTGAAATATGGTTTTTTTTTTTTTGATGTTCACTCAGAATACTGCATTAAAGTAACGTGGATAGTCTAACTTTATTTTCAGTACCATTATCAATGCTGCTATTTTACCACTTCTGCTCTTGTTTGGGATTCATAGCCTGAAAACAAATGTGTCCGTGGTAGCCATCTTATTGTTACACAGTGCTCTCCTCTCAGTTTACTGACTTCTGCAGATTGATATAGAACAGCTAAAATATCACCTGTCAGATATCAGATTACGCATTGTTCACATAAATAACATTGCATTAAAAGGAGTAAATTATTTAATGTTTATAAAAGTAATTAATTAACTGCCGCCGGCCAGTTCTAATATAAACGTCCACACAGTTACACACTCACACAACACGTATTTAGTGATTTGTCCACCCTCTCCTCCCATGTAGCTTTCCTTTTCCGGCATCATGGAAACGAGGCCGCAGGGATGCCACTCACTGTTGTTTAGTGTTGGGGTAGTAGGATCTCCTGCTCCGCTCTCGCTGCTGCCTGTATATCCCACCCCTGCCTGTATATTATGCCTCTGCACCCGCCCCTGCCTGTATATGATCTCTCTGCCCCTGCCTGTATATGATTTCCCCCCCCCGTGCGCTCCTGTCGCTGCCTGTATATTATACCTCCGCTCCCGCCGTTGCCTATGTATTATTACTCTGCCCCTGCCTGTATATCCTTAATCCATCCACTTCAGCTACCAGGAGCACTCTGCATGCTCAATTGGTCTGCACTCTGGGGCATGCTCAATTGGTCAATCCTAAAATCAATCTGCAGGATCATCCATAGACAAAGCCTTTTTCCTCTCCGCTATACCTAGTGATGGTTGGGGACTTGACCAGCTTTGGCAAGGCTTCACTCACCTCTATTTTGTCTTATTATATCTTTTGACTGGGATTGAATTTCAGTGAAATTCACGCACCGTCAATGTGAGGATCTTTTATAACATAGAGGTGTGGGCACAGAGCCACTTTAATATTTTTATGGATGATTTTTCAATATAACACAAGGTCATATTAACAAACACAAGTAAAGAGAAATATACCAAAGTAGGCCTCAAACCACAAATGCACAGTAAATGACCAGAAAACAGTGTATATCAACTGGTACATGAATAGCGAGAGCTATGGCAGTTAAAATGTTTGGCTGTGTATTCATTTTACTTCTGCAAAGATCTACAATTGTGTTTTTTTTTTTTTTTTCTTCATGCAGCGTTTTCACAAACCACATCATCTGTGGAAGGTGACAACACCGTTTGCAAGCCATGCGTTTCACCCAATTGATGGATTCATGCAAAGCTTGCCTTACCACATCTACCCCTTTATCTTCCCCCTTCACAAAATCACCTACCTTGGGCTCTACATTTTTGTCAATATTTGGACAGTGTCAATCCACGATGGTGACTATCGAGTACCAACATTTCTCAAACAGATCATCAACGGATCAGCTCATCATACTGACCACCACCTATATTTTGACTTTAACTATGGCCAGTATTTTACCCTCTGGGATAAAATCGGAGGGTCCTACAAGAACCCGTCATCATTTGAAGGAAATGGACCACACGACCACTGCAAGAAACTAAAAGAAGACGGCGAGAGCTCCCGTAATGGCAATGCCAACTACCAGAAATTCACAGAGAATGGGAAAAATAAGTAAATTCCTACTGGAGGACATGATCAGTCTAAACTGCAAACTTGTTCTATTTACTAATTAATAGTGCAGAATATTTACTTCAATAAGAGTTAACGTGGGATGCCAGTATGTGCTATTACTTGCTCTGCGCAAATATTAGTTCCACATTCATAATTTCTTGAAATTTAAATAAATTTCATTGGAATGAATTATAGCGCTTGCACATTTGTGCACTAAATTCCTTTTTATTGAGCACAAGGACCTTGCTCAGTGGGGTTACTGCCTGCTGTAAAGCCTGTCCCCCCCCCCCCCCAAAAAAAAAAAATTAATTGGGGCAATTCTGCTACAATAAAAATGTAATGTAATAAACAATGAAATGTAAGTTCTATTTCTGCTGGTAGAATAACTCCACACGACTTCTCACACTCGTGCAGGTAAAATTAATTCCATGTAATTAGTAGACATTGTGACTTGCACCAATGAGTTATGTGAGAGATTTGTGATTGGATTGATATCTTATCACTTAGAAAGCATCAGAAACCTTGGGAATAAAGTCCATAGTCTTGGGCCTTGCATGGCTGAGGTAAATTTTCATTAAACTTAGATTTTTTTTATTTTTTTATGATGAATCCAAAATTATAAAAAAAAAAAACCTTCTAATGGATTCTGTAGAAAAAAAACTTTAAGGGACCATGAAGATTTAAGTGCAAGCTACCCTTCCAGGTTAAAAACGCGTTGTCTAAAACACTGCAAATTGCTGTCCCTTATATAATTCTCACATATTTCAGACTTGGCTATGGCTTTACAGGGAAAAACAAAATGTGTTCTTAGACACTGCATGTGTGCTCAGTTTTAGAAATTGTTTGTTTCAGAAAATGCATTTATTCTGTTTTGCGTTGTCATGTGCTGAGATTAGCTGTATTTCTATTCAGGGGAAATTCTAATAATATTGAGAATATTTTCATGGTTTGAGGATTTCAGGAGTGCTTTGATCTAAAAATGCAGTTCTAATTCATTAGAGACCTATCTGTATATGGGAATGCTGTGTGTGATGCAGGAGGAATAAATCGGAAAGGAGACCGAATCCACAATATCCCATCCTCCTGTTTGTAGCGCAGCCTTGGCAGGAAGACGTGCGCTGACATATTGTATATGGATACAATATATGCATTAGAAGAGTTAACGGAGATGGATCCGACTGGACCCTGATCCCCAATGTAACACAGGAACTGCACTCAATCTTCCAACCTCAGAACCAGGGTGCAACTAGATCCGGGTTCAGCACCAAATCCCAAATGTAATACTTCAAAAGAAAGGATAAGGGCACTCCAATGGTTCAATTTCAGGCAATTTTATGGTCACCAGAATGTGCAAAACAAGGACCCTGATCCCTGACTGCTTGGGCCCCTCTGTCACCATCGTACTTGCATTTACAATGCTACTTTAGCCATTGTATTTCGTAGACTCTGTGTAGCATGGGGTAATTCTCACTTCAAATACAACTTGCAGGCTCATTCTGCTAGCAAACCAGAAGGGTTTATTCACCAAAGGGTGAGTTAAAGTCTGCTTTTAAGTTGCATAAAGTGACCAAAATGTGTCCAAATCTGCTAAGCGGAGGAAGTTTGCTTAATTATGCAGTTTGCTTGTTTGTAAACACAGCTCATGGTTACTAAATAGGCCACTCAATATTACCCTGAGGTTCTCTTTTCCTATTCACAGGTCTCACTGTAGAGTCTTGTTTTTATTAGAAATTTATTTTGGTTAGTTTGAAAGTGTTCTAAATGGCATTATTATAATCATGGTTATTCGTGGTTTGACAACGCCACATTGGACTGTAATAAAATAAACCGTGCAGTATATTTCTAGAGAAACTTGTATCTGTATCCAAATTTATGGTTAGCAGGAAATACCTCTCTCAATCCCAGAATATTATCTCTGATCCCTTATACATCCAGCTGCATGACTTCATAAGAACATTAACTGTCATTTTACTTTGATTTCTATTTAATTGAAATGTGTACATAATGTATCTGTGGTTTTGGTTACCAATAAAAAACAAACTATATTTTACTTAAATAGCACGACCAGCATAGCTGCTCATTTTCAGCAAAAGCACTGTAAAATAAATGAATAAATTTCAATATAGTTTCATTTATTATATATGAAATAAATGTGTTTGTATATAATCTATTTAGTTTGTAGTGTGTTTAAATTCCAGATCCATTGTTTTATGTATTTGCATGAAAGATCTATGGATTCTGTCCTTTACCCACAACATCAGGTTTAAAATATACCAATGAAATAAACGGTTTATAGAAGAGAAATGTATTATCTACAAGTGAAATCTACTAGAAATGGGGGAAAAAATAGTTTTCATTTATTAATTTTAGAATTTTGTTTAGTCTGAAATTTTGTTAATTCTCTAAATTTGTCGTCCTATTACTTCCTAAGGGATTTGGCGGCTGGGGAGAGCCTATTCCTGCACTGCCTTCTTTCTGATGTGGTCAGCGCACAGAGGTTGGGCTTATGTTATTCAAAATACAAAAATTGATATCACACTCAACATGAGGAAAATATAAAGATTTATTAGCAGAACATTGCCATATACCTGAATACAACTCCAATTTCTAAATCACGAGAGTGAAGATATAGAATCTTAAAGTGACAAGTGCCAAAAAATTACCAAGTGCTTAAAGTACACTATCAACGTTCCTATATGTACAAATCTGTATACAGCAACAACAAGATAGTAAGTGATTATTCCTACGGAATATTCACTACGGAATAATCACTTACTATCTTGTTGTTGATCATGCTGTATACAGAGTTGTACATATAGGAACGTTGATAGTGTACTTTAAGCACATATTGAGCACTTGATAATTTTTTGTCACTTTAAGATTATATATCTTCACTCTCGTGATACATCCAAACCAAACATTAGACTTGGAATATAGAGGGCTTTACAACGGTTTGCCCTTTAACAGCATAGAGATAAGTAGGACTTCTCGGGTTTTGTGCTGTTTGTTACATACTAAATGTATTTATTTATAAAATATTTTACCAGGAAAGATACATTGAGATTTCTCTTGTTTTCAAGTATGTCCTGGGTCCACAAAACATTGCATTGTTACAATAGGATACAATATTACAAAAAGATTTGACTGTGTCCCTGAGGTTATTCCATAATTGCGGTGCTCTGTAGGAAAATGAGGATCGAGCCACTTTATTTTTGTATTGCGGAATGCTAAATATTGTGGTGGTACTGGATCGGAGATTATAGGAGGTGGGAACACCCGGGGAGAGAATTTTACTCAGGTAGGGTGGGCCCTTCCCAGAAATTCTCTTATGCACAAGGCTGGAAAGCTGGAGTGTGTCGGGATTCCAGCGATAGCCAATTTAGCTCTTTTAACATGTTACAATGGTGGGAAAAGTAATTACATTCTAGTACAAAGCGTCAGGACAAATTAGATAACGTATTAAGGTGGGTTTGCGGTGCAGGTGCATGCACTACATTTCCTTATTGTAGGGCATAGGCAGGATTTGTTTCTGTACAGGGCACCTAGTTTGGGGTAAAGTTTTGAAGATATTTTTTTCAATGTGAAGGCCAAAAGATAGATTGGGGTCTAGCAACAAACCTAGATATTTAAAAGAGCAGACTTCTGTCAGTGTGCAATTTGAATTTGTTCTGATACACAGTTGTTGATTTTGTAGTTTATGTAATTTAGGTACAGTTCCAAATATCATTGTAACAGTTTTGTCAGTGTTTTAGGAAGAATTTATCATCCGCTATACACTTTTCTACCTCTGTGAATTGGTTTTGGAGCACAGCCTCAAGCTGCGGTATATTGGGTTTACTAGTGTAGATTACAGTGTCGTCCGCATACATGTGTACAGTTAAGGATTTGCAGACATTGGGCAGATCATTTATAAATAATGTGAATAGCAGGGAGCTGGGTATGGAGTATGGGACTGGAGCTGTTTATATTTTTTTTTTGTGGTTGGGGGGACCAATGTTGCCATGACATCCTAAGTTAATTTTGAATATATGGTGGTGTTATTGCAATTATTATACCAAATATAAAATAATAATGTATTTATTTCTATTTGGGGGAAACAGTGACCCCTAGTGGGGTAGATTTAATATTACTGGCATTGCTTTGATGTGAGGGTATAGGTCTGGTCTCTGCATGGGACCATTAAGGCTCAGTCTGTGCTCTATATCTATATCGGACCGACTGGTCTCAGTTGCTTGGCGACTGGTGCCAGCTTGTGCCTTTCCACTAGGACCGCAAATGGTATGTCTCCGTAGCGTGTCACCATACAGTTTTAAAATTCTACACTACCCATCTCTCGATCGGACCATGATCGCGGAACAAACCGCTATGTCTCTTGTCACAATTAGCTGGTGCTGTGGCGGCCTTTCGGATGCGGAATGCTGCTAGCAGCATGGGTGGGTCATTTCTGCCCTTAAGGCCCATGACCAGGAACAGTCTCTGGGCATAGGGTAGGAGATCCTCCCCCCCGACCTCTTCTGGGACTCCCCTCAGTTGGACATTCCGGCGTCTGTGCCGAGATTCCATGGAAGCCATATTTCTCTGCATGTGACGGACCTGTTGGGTAAGCTCCTCTATCTGCGTCTCTGTGTAGCCTGTCATCCCTGGCATTCTCCCTCTCCTCTACCCTTTCTACCTTCTAAGTTACTATGCCCAGCTCATTTTGGGTCTCGTGGAGGTCCTCCTTCTATACTTTGTGGAGGTCTAGGAGCAGCCGCTTGATATCTCCTCTTGTGGAGGGCGTTCAGTCAGTCTTACTCCGACCCGGACTCTGGTCTGCTACACTGTGGTATGAAGAGGCAGGGGATTCTGCCTCCTCTTGCGATTCCTCCTTGTCCTCTGCCTCGAGTTGCGCAACAAAAATAAAGAATAAAAAAAAAAAATTACTAAAAAAGTGTTGACTATATTTAATTTAATCACCTCTCTCTTCTCCACCACATCACACAGGGGATGCTGACCTTGGACTCGGCATGTCTGTTGTGGGCAGGGAAATTACACTCTTTCAAAATGGTTTTAGTCCACAAACTCTTGTATATCTTTAGAACTTTACCAATTCAGGTTCTGAGTCCATACTTCACAATGTTCAAGCAGCAATCTCATTATTTGTTTGGTCCTGCAGAAAGGCGAGTCTGAGATCATCGTTACTAACATGTCCTACAACAATGGAGGGCATAGGGGTTCCACATGTTCCTAGTTTCTATAAAGCAGCAATTATACTTGCTTCTAGACAAATTAGAAATTGGGTGGACATGGAAAGCACCCACTCATTAGTCTCCTACTATGGACATCTAAGAAGGATTATGGTCCCACAAGACCCTAGACAAGTTGTTTGGTTGGGGCACCCCCTTTATTCTTTACATAGGGAAGGTTAATGGGGCCACACAATTTCATGGTTCTGGGGCCCTCGGTGACCCCATCCTACACTGCATGTGGATGGATAAATGGATTGCTAGATTAATGAGTGGCTGGCTGCCTGGATGGATGGATGGATGGATAAATGGATGAGTGGAGAGATAGATGTATGGATGGATACATGAATGAGTGGATGGAATGATGGATGGATAAATGAATGAGTGAATGGATGGATGAAATAATGGATTTGTTAATGAATAAGTGGATAAATGAAATGATGGATGGATAGATGGATTGATGGATGAATAAATGAATAAGTGAATTTATGGAATGATAGATGAATAAATGAACGAGTGGATGGATGAAATGATGGATAAATAAAAAAATGAGTAGATGGATAAATGAATGAGTGGATGGCGTGATGGATGGGGTGATGGTTGGATAAATGAATGAACGGATGGATGGGGTGATGGATGGATAAATGAATGAGCGGATGGATGGGGGGATGGATAAATAAATGAGTGGATGGATGGATGGATGGATGGATGGGGTGATGGATGGATAAATGAATGAGTGGATGGATGGGGTGATGGATGGATAAATGAATGAGTGGATGGATGGATGGGGTTATGGATGGATAAATGAATGAGTGGATGGATGGATGGATGGATGGGGTGATGGATGGATAAATGAATGAGTGGATTAATGGATAATAAATTTGTAGAGGGGTGGATGGATAACTGAACAAGTTATTCTGATATCTGAATAGCTATAAGAAAAATGTGATACTATGTGTACATGGTAGTAGCCATTTTGCAATCTATTACATGTACAGTGGGGTTATTGTATTCAGACCCATGTGTTAAATATGATAATCGTGGATACTGACTACTTTCACAGCATTTGTTTTCCATATCCTTATGCAATTACGAGTACTTATCTTCATGATAAATTACATATTCAAATTAGAGTGAGCCTGATAATTTACCAGAAAAATGCTTTTGGTATAATGTCCTGTAGGTGTCGCTTGCAGTCTGATTACGTTTCCTTTTTACAGTAAACGTTTTGTGTCTATTTTTAACCTCACTCGTTAATGCGCAGTATTTATAAACAGTTAGGAATTTATCATATGCTTATTACATGGTTACTAACAATATAACACTATTGTTTCATTAATAACTCAAACCATTCTTTCATATATTTTCACATTTTGTTTCCTCAAAATTTGATTAAAATGTTGCAGCTGTAAACCCAGAGGCCAAGGCGTATTTGTTAAAATGGGTTAGACCGGGATGCTTAAAGGGACATGCATCACTTGGCAATTATTATTATTTAAACCAGCAAGCAAACACTTTAAACAAATATACAAACAAAAATAAACTTTGAAAAGTATGTTATAAACATTTATAAACTTGATCAGATTGCACTGTTAGGCACGCCTCTTAAGTAGGAGAGTTTCCTCACCACTACCCCTTCCTTCTACCCTCCCACCCATCTCAAACCAGTCCACTAATGACAGAAACCGGGCCTCATTGTGCAGCAGCCAGAGAAAGAAAACTGCTCTGCTGGGAGATTCCAGAAAGTGTATTGGTTACTTTGCATCCAATTATTGTTTATTTTATAGGGCATCTGTTGGTAACACAGGAACTGCCCTACTTGCTGATTACTCACAAGAATCAGATCCAATCATCTGCAGGACCACCCTATATAAGGAGGGCTGTCCAAATGTTCTGAGACATGTTGTGGCTCCTGAGCCTTAGCCTTAAGTGTGTGTTATCCTGATCAGTGCCGATGCTACCATAAGGTGGCACTGGCGGCCTCCTTAGGGTGCACCGGTCTGGCGGCGCAAAAAGGCAGGGTAACTGGCAGGAGGTGAGAGCGCAGAGTACCCCTTTCCAGCCGGTCACTCTCTGTATCCATGTCCAATACCCGAGTGATTCATTCACTTGCCTGTTGTACTGTGCTGCAGTATCTTGTTGTGTGAGGAAATAACATGTGCAGCCTCAGAGGGGATGGGAGCAGCAAGGAGTGGCCACGGAATCTCTGTAAGAGCTTAAGGGCGCTGGGATACATAACCCAGCAGCCACGTGCTGAGAGAAAGCAGCAACACCTGGTGGTATTTGTGTGAAAAAATTAGAAACAGTGAGAGTGTATATGTGAGCTAGTAAGTAAATGTGCATAATAGCCAGTAATTGTGTGTGTGTGCAATAGCCAGTGTGTGTATGAGCTAATGAGTTATTGTGTATATATGGGCCAGTATGTTTGTATATGCCTATGTATGAGTCAGTGTGTGTATGAGCTAGTGAGTTATT